GTTTTCTAAATGAGAGCGTGCTGCTTACATGCATATTAATAAACTATAAGGTGTAGAACTATTTAACAGGCATATGTGGACTCTTAGCGCTTATTGCTTTTAGTAGTGTAGGTCTCAGACCTTTACTCCTGCATGCAAGTTACTCAGTTAATCATCTTAAAATTAGTTGTTATTGATCACATTTGTCCTAAAAAAAAACCTATCAATCTATGAGCTGTTGGTTTGCTGTCATGTTTTTTTTTTTTTTTTATGTTAAATCTTTACTGCCTCTTGGTTTGCTGTCCCCTTGGTTGTAGGCCCCCCCCCTCCCGTAGATGGCACCTTGAGTAGAAATTAGTAGAAAACCTGTTCAGCATTCTGCTCACTTCTGCTTATTTTATATTCCAGCGGAACAATTGTACACCAGCCCATACGATCTGTTATTCACACCAGGATATTGTTATTCAAAGTCAAGGTCACAACTGTAATGTGCCCACCTGGGAGGCTTTGCTGCAGCTGAACGTGACAAAAGCAGCAGCACACAGAAATCCAGTTAAATGATCTTTAAAGGCAAAAAACAAGATGAAAATGCCTTCTCTTAATAAAAGGCCACGGTTCATACATTTGTCAAAGTTTTTTTGGATACCTATATTTACACATTTTTTAAGAATTACCTCAATACCAGCTTCCCAAAATGATCGGGACAGACCAAGATCAGCACAGACTCTGAATGTATTTGATTGATTTGCTTATTTTTCTCGTCTGATGCATTCACTGTCCACTCATGCAGCAAATCATCAAATCTGCTGGGCAATTTACTTGTTCAATGTCTGTGATTTGACTAGAGCTGAAAAAAATCTGTGGGTTGATTGATTATAGGAAATGAATATGCAAAAGTTCTGATAGGAGATATTTTTTAAGCAAAAATGCCAATTATTCTCCGGTTGTGGTTCCCCAGATGTCTAAATTTGCTGCTTTTCTGTTCTTAATCATTAGTAATATATGTTGGTTGTCAGACAAAGCAAGATATTTGAATCTAATTATGTTCAGAGTAGCCATTTTTTATATTTTTGGGGTTTCTGTGTGCAATTTTATTAAATGCTTCTTTTATGACATTTAACTTGCACATCTTTATTTTACTATTTCTGGTCTATTATTCGTTAAGGTAAAATTAAGAGTCAACTAGCATTGATTGCAAGTGATTTTGATTGGCTAATTGAAATAAGCCCTCGCTGTGTAGACAGACTACATTAGAATGAAGGTGAATGGTATATTTCATGTCACTTTGGTGCTATCCGATGAACACCAAGCCAGATACCATTCATCATTGTGTCCTTTTGTGAAATGAGCCCGAACATAAAACACCGGAGAAGAAAATCGTGTTGACTTCCATCCAGTGTCTCCAGGGGAAAGACATTGCAAAGCATGTTGGCGGTTGATTTGTCTCCCCGAGCCCTCTTGTTGTCCCGTCTCTGCCCTGGAGTCTGCAGTGAAAGCTTGATCTCTTAATGGGGCTTTGCTGTTCGCCTCTGCCCACACACTTGTACCGCACCACGCACAACTTTGTGTTTCCTTCCTAGAGGGGTTTACCATGAAAGCAGGGTCGCTGCCCCCTCTCTGCATTATTGCTCCAAGGAACTACCTTACTGTGGGAGGATGTGTGAGTAACAGTGCTCAGCGGGTGAGTGACTTCTTTCTGCTCATCTTTCCATCCAGGGTCCACTGTGCTTGATGACGGTTTTTGTGGGTGGGTGTGCTAAGATGGCAAGAGAACTGAAATGGAACTCCCAGATCTTTCCGCCTACATGCCGTTCCATCATAAAGGCACCAGTTCTTTTTAGTCTGGCTATCTGCCTTCTCCATGTCAGCGTGATTGTCAGGCTTTGTGTGATCTGCTGTGACTCATTCATCATTCTGGAGAGCACTGATGTTGCTCTGCAGTCTCTGCAGATAGACCGGGGACCGAACATTCTTCCATGGATGAATGTGTGCTCGCTCCTCTCGAGGGCTGATGACTTAATTTACTTCCCTGCGACAGATATTTCGAGAAATAGTTTTGTTTTGCATCAAAGTATTCTGGGGAAAGGTGAAATCACCCCCGCGGTATAAATATAACAGACACAAGAACATTTTCTCTCCATCAAAAGCAATGCTCTGCAGCGGCAGATGTGTGGTTTGTAAGGGTTTTACCAAACCCTTTATGGGCTAATTGCTGCTACAGCGAGCTGAAGTGAGACCAGGACGTCCGAGTTCTGTTTGAGAAGTAAGATAATCGTTTGCAATTACATTGTAGTGTGCGTTTCCGTCCACAGTTAATCGGGGAAACACGCAAAGACGTTGTTGTGCCAACAAAGGCAGCGAAGAAGACTGCAAGCTAGTGAACATGCAATTACAGAACAGTGCACCGTTCAAAATGTTTTTTTTTTTGTTGTTTTTTTAATCTGCTTCATACATGTGTTATTAGAAAGGAACTTCTTTCAGCATGTTTGTTAGAACTCGAAGATGCGCACAATACGTTTTGTTGAGAAACACTGCATGTTAACATAACTTTTGTTTACTTCACAAAGCACCTTTAACTCGGCACTTTAACAATTACAACAACTAATAATTCAGACATTAGTGTGTTCATACCGGTACTTTGTATCTTCATTCATCTCAAAATATGGATAGATATCCTGCTTTGCAGCACATATTATCATATCATATACAGCGGCATCTGCTCACTTTAAAAGGATTTGTAATGCAGATTTAATGTGTCATCATACAGGACATGGCTATCCACTGAGCAGCTGAGATGGACCAGTTCTCTCTTCTTCTTTCACAAAGAGAGCCTGCTGCTGTGTATGACATTGTTTACCAGTCTCGAATGAAGCACCGATGTAATTCTGTTATATTCGACACTCTCTTGTCTTTGTGATTGAGGTCATCATTTGGTTTGTCTGCGAGCAGCACCTGGACAGATGACGACTGCGTTATGAATGCATCCTCGCTCTCATGAATGTTTGATGAACAGTCTCCGTATCTACTCTGCTGTCTCCTAGTCAACAGGCATCCACATTGTCAACGCCTGCTGATTGAAATACCAGTGCTGGACAGAGATACGGGCATTGTTGATTAATATTTCATGATTTTATTGTCTCCTATCATTCCGACAGGAGATGACTTACAGTACGTTCTAAAAGGCCTCTCAAAGCACATTGTTGTTGTTCCACCTGTCAATACCTCCCTGGTCTTGATGGCTTGGATATGATACCTGATATCCGCTGCACTGCACTAATGCATAAGCTTTCTGTGTTATTGACCGAGGCCGTTTCCTGTCTGCCTAAATATATTCACCATCTTCATGCGCATACCGTATATCAAAGAGTACTCGACAGGCTTTCGCACAAAAGATTGCAATGGAATCCATATTTGTGCAATACTTACACTGACAATTGATGGTCAACTGTGATTCTGCAGTCTCTGTTATTGTCTTCCCTTTAAAAAGAGCTTACAGATTCTGTTCTGTGTGTAAATCATATATTGGATATGGCATTTGGTATTACATTACAGCCCAGCATTTTCCAAGGCATATGATACAGTTTTAGATTGATTTCCTACCTTCCAAGCAGCAGCAGCAGGTCTCCCTTCATGTCAGTGCAGTATGGAAATAAACTCTGTTCAGATTGCTCATCCATCACGAATAGCACGACATCATACAAAACCTTTTGCACAGTTTTGCTTTTGTGAAGGCGACGTGGTTGAATTGATGGTGCCATTTCAGTTTAATCTCAAATATCTTGTGTTCGCTTTTAAGACGTTATTTTGAAGGTCTCGTGTTTCAGTTCTTTGTGTTTTCAAATATCTCTAAAGATGGAGCACTCAACTGACCTTGCCCAAGCACACAAAAGCCTGCAAGTCTTCATATTCATACTTGACTGCACATAACTATTGAGATTGCACTAGTTAGCTTCTCTGCTGTGACTCTGTGTTTGGAATTTAACCCCAACACTGATGCGAGCTTATCCATTTCTTATATTCAGCCTTATTTCTGTATATTTCATTGAAGATCTGTTAGAAATGTGAGGCAAAGATACACAGCGGCTGACAAAATGTTCACTCCTCGTTGGAGGAGTGAACAAAAAAGTCTGTACATCCAGTGGTACACTGCAACCTGGAACTGCTAATAGCTCATTCGGCAGCAGGCATCTATAAATACTGCAGTGGCATCAAAAGGTCTCTATTCTCTTCTACTCTGTTCTTCTCTTTTCCACATCTGTGGTGGAGATTTTAGTTTTTAAGACAGAAACTCAAACTATTTTGCCTTGAGTGTAGTTGCTGGAATGTTAAATGTGTGTACTTCAATTTGGGGGGGAAGAGAGGCGTTGTGTGAAAGAGGAGTCAAAAAGGAAAGCACTTTTAAATTGGGGGGGGATCTCTTAATCTATTTCTATATGCAGATTGGATATTCCGCTTTATTTTAGTGCCTCTAATGTGCCTCGCGGTAGTTGCCATGTCTGCTGATGTGCTTCATGAAGTAGAAAATGTGCTTTTGTTGTATCGTAGCTCTGCCACGTCTCCTGGGCCTCCCATGTCTGCTGCGGTGCCTGAGGTTTCTTTTCTCTGCAACAGCTGTGGTGCTTGGTGGTCGGTGTTAATGGAAGAGATGAAATCCGCTCTTTCCAAGTCATCAGGAACTTAATGATTTTTTTTTTCTTTTTGCTATTCTGGTCCTCAACCTGGGCTGTCAAGTTTCAGATATTGATCTCTCCGTCACGCCTTACCAGTCAAAGAGATCAGTGCTTCGTTTCAGGGCTCGATGAATGCAAACAAAGCACCAGACTTAGAACTCTGCAGTATAAACTTTCCAGTTATGTTGAAACTTTGCCTACTTATAAAGGGTTATGTATTGTTGGCAGACTCTATAGCTGCGGTTGACTTTATAAATCAATGTCATTTCATGTGTTCCCAGCTGAAGCTTTCAGCTACCTTTCTTTGTTTTGCTTGGCTGAAACCGTGTCCTCCTTTTCTCTATTTTTCAGCTCCTGGAAGGCAGCTTCACGTCCCAGGTCAGCCACGAAGTCGACGGACTTGTCTTCCAGCCATGCGGGGTAAGCCTCCCTCTTATGTATGACGATCTTTCATGTTTCAAAGCCGTAGCCCCGTCGCCACAAGCTGCTTGTCAGGCGAAGCGTTTTCTTCCGCCGAGCTCCTACATAAAAGTCGGACAGCTTGTCACGACCACCTGCCGTTTGTCACTCTATATCCGTATCGCCCTCTGTGGTAAAGGAAGCCTCACTCCTACATGAATTCACATAAACACAGTGCCCTCTGTAAGAGGCTGCACAGTAAAACAGACGCATGGTAGTTAGTGTTACAACGGAAACAGCCTTTTTTACTTTACTCGGTTGTTAGAACAGCAGAAGATCACCTGTGACTGTCGTACCATTCCTCTTCTCCTGTGATGGACTCACGAGCCAATAATCCACGGTGTAATATATGAAATATTGTGTCGCTCATAACATTAGCGCAGGCGTAGTACGAGTAGGAATCTCAATGTGAGCGGAAAGTAGTATCAAAGTGAACATAGTATGTGTGCGCTTACCAACCCACAAACTGAGAAATAAGACAACCAAGCCGGTTGTTTGTGGGCCATCTCGATCATAAAACGTGTGATTAAACAAGCCATTCAGATTTGGCTACCCTTCATAATTTCATAATGGCAACAACAGCAGCAAAATGTTTTTGGCTTGATCGATTCCAGCAGATTTGCATGACAAAAAACCGGGCAGCACTCGCATCCATGGATAATACATAAACAACATTCTGTGCGTGCTCACCTGCTTCTCGTTTGTTCTTTTATTTACCTCAGACATGTTGAACGTCTATCAGTCGAAGGTATATAATCAACCGAGAGTTTAACAACAATACAACAATATGCTGCCATGGTGCACTGAAAGCTGATTTTTGTTTTTCTTTGGCCACAGCCCAATCAGAGATGTTTATTCAGGTATTTGGCATTTTTTGGTTGAAAGTGCGATTTTAAGCCCCAAATGCATTTTTATCCGCAGCTAGCAATGTAGAGATGTTCTGCCATATGTAACTGTGGCGGGATACCTTTTAAATTTTCTTCCTTACCTATTATTTTCTCCCAGTAGCAATGATGATTCCCAACATTGCATACAACTTTTTTTAATGTAGCTAATTTCCATAGGAGGAAATGAGCAGGTGAATTTGTAATAATGGAGATTTCCCTTTAAGGAATACAATATGGAGGCTTTTTTCTTTCAGCATAGCTGTATAAAACTCATGATTGTGTAGATTTATATCAGAATTACAGCAGTAAAAACCTAGGTTGCCATGCCTTGGATCCATATAGTGAGATAAAACATGTATGGGGTCACCCAAACAGGGTAAGATAACATGTCTCTGGATGGGACAGATATAATGAAATACATAAGTCTTGCATCACTGGCCTTGAGAAATGTATCTGTTAACATTAATATTTTAGAGTGACTCCATATTTATTGGTTTCAACATGTTCAGTTTTTTCTCTCCTCTGTGATTTGTGAAGTAATTAGTGTGTAACTGCGGCCGTCAGGTAGCAACAGTTCTCAGGAGATGTGGGAATCAAATTTGGAGGAGACAAGTTGACACAGCTGCGTTTTCTCTCCGCCGCAACATGAGCAGAGATGATGTGCATCTCCGAGCAGCAGAAGTCTCTCCGAGGCTGTTTAATTATTGCATCACTGTCCTGATCAATATGGCATGAATATCTTTTTTTTTTTTTTTTTTTTTTTTTAATAATATAATCTTTCCTCTGGCAAATTGTGTTTCTTTCTCTTGTTTCCACAGTTGATATCTCATTTCTAAAACTGTAGAGAAAAACATGTACTGTATGTTTGCTAGAAGAGAAATCAATAATGTTGGAATAGGTTTTGATCATTGGCTCCTTTTTTTTTTTTTTTAGCTGCACATTATGCAAGAGATGCTTTTGACATTATTTTTAGTGGATTGGATTGGATTGAATATCCAATTCAAACACAATCCTAACCAGAAAATGGTTTTGGGTACAGAGCACATGGCTTAATGCAGCCAGCCTTTGATTTATTTTCTTCTGTAGCTTCAGCGAATTTGAGGGATTATGAACAATAGAGCCGGAGAAAGGAAAGAGAAGCACCGTGGCCTTATGGGCGCAGAGCTGCGTTTGGCATTCATCACACCGGCTGAGGAAGCTGCAACAGCATCATCCCCCTCCGAGTCATGGATTAGGAATTAGCTTTTAACCACGGTTTGTGATTTGTTTTGGCAGGTGCTTTTGAAATGATTGCTGTTCAACAGGTAGGAATAGAATCAGCCGGGGACAATGTGCAAATGTTCTGCAAATAGGAAAACGGATTGCATGGACAGGTCCGTTCTGTTGGCAGGTGCTTTTTTTGTTTTTTCACCCCTCTTAATACAGTTCTCGCCTTTGAATTAGAGGGGAGTCCTTTCATTGGCCCTGCAAGGCCGTGTATGAGACACAGCTCATTTTAGAAATGACTGTCAAAAGACCCAGATGTGTCCCATTAAAGCGGTCTGCTCTCGGTCTGATTTGTAGAACTGTGATCGAATCACTGTTCATTAAGATGCTTCTCAGCAGCTTCGTGAATCTGACAGAAGGAAATCTCTCCAAACTCTGGAAGGTCAGCAGCTGGTTCCCGTCAGCACAGTCGCTCAAACAAATGGAATGGGTTTGGAAAGCTGACAAGTCTAATGTGACTAAATGATAATGCAAATAGTTGGCCATCTGACGTGACATTACAAAAAAAAGTTATTATGCAACACTGTCTGGCTTTATGTTTTTCATTTTAGCATCTACATTAAGCAATTCAACATTCTGTTTATGAGGGTTTTGGCACTTTAGACAACGCAAACAAACAGAATGCGTGTAGTAAACCAACAATAACCAGACTCTGCTAATGGATGCAGTGTGACGGGGGCCTGTCATTACGACATTATGCACTTAAATACAGCAGCAGAGACTCATTTAAATGCCATTAACCCTTAACAACCTCAAGCCTGGTGATGACAAGGTGACAGACTGCACTTGCTGTTTTGTAAGACTACTTTAAAATAGTCTGTGGTGATGTCATAGCCGTCACTATCGCCAAATAATTCGCCAAAAGACTGCATCCTTGACATTTCCTGTTCACACTGTTAGTTTGCATTTTCAACCCAAATATAAAGAAAGAGCCGTCCATGTTGCGGTGTTCAGATTGTGTCCTGATGCTGTCGTCATGGAAAACAGTGAACATGGATCGCAGCAATCTGCTAGTGCAGCCACGCAGTCAGTGATAGGAAACCTAACTTAATATCGAAGGAGAGAGTGTGATGTGATGACCTACACAAAAAAACAACTTTTACAGCACAATAGTAAACTGCACTGAAATACTCGAGAAGAGTTTTTCCAGGAGGCTATTAAATATTAACGGGGAAGCAATGGCTAGAGGCCGATAAGGCAGTGAGGTACATTGCTGCTATTTGGCAGTTAAACTTATTCTTTTTATTTTTTGGAGGAAAGATTTGAAAAGGAAATTCATCATTATTATCTGTTTTGTCTGCAGCATAAAGTGAGTGAGCCGTGCATTGTCGGTGTGTTTGTTCTCATTGTGTGGTTTACTGAATTAATGCCCTTTTTTTTTTAAATCCATTTGCTTTTTTGATCTTTGGCTGGTGTCATTGGATTATTGATTGACACTGTGACTGTTTGAGACTGTTTTCCCTTGACAACCTATGTAAATAAGCCATTATTTGTGACGTATGCTGTGCAGTGAGAGAGAACATGTTGAGGTTGTGCAAGCTAATTCTTCTTTGGAGCAGTTCCATGCGTTTCCCTCTTCAGTGAGAAATCGTGTTTAATTGTTTTAATTTACCCAAGTTCATTAAGTATTAAAGAACAGAGAGACTAGGGGGGGGGGGGGGGGGGGTGGTTGCAACAGCATCTGGTTCATAAGTAGTTTAGCCGGCTGTGTTAGGCATTAGCTTTTAACACCCTTTTTGTCAGTAAGTTGTTTTGAAAAATTCCACGGACTAAATAGCTTTAAAGAATTTGCCACCTGGATGTGGATGTGGAATGAATACTGATGGTAAATGTGGTCCACGGCAGAACTTCATTTCCTGGTGAGTGCAGTATTGACGAAGAAAGCGGATCTCTCTGACTGAGGAGCCATTTCGGTTGTGCCTACATGTACCAGAATGCATTGCGCGAAAGTGGCGATTTCACTACGTCTGACAAATAAGCAAAATAAACTCACAAAACATCAATGAAGGAAGTATTCTTACACCTTTTTAAAAGAAAAATACTCCTGTATTCCTTCTGAATTCAAGTTTTTCTCTTACACCAAACTACTAAACAGTCTAAATTGCGTTAACTCGTCGTAAAACACTTCATTCAAACTTGACAGAAACAAAATTAAACTCACCAAACACGTCTTGGTTAGTCTGTCCACTGCTCACAACAAGCAGCTACTCTGGTTTGAAATAAATCCTTAATTCAAAAAGAGTAAGATGTGAAAATATGCCGGCTCTATACAGTTTGCTTCGGCACAATAATCTTTGGTCAATTACAGCCTAAAACTGACTATTTGATAAGATTTAAGTTTACGAGCATCGTTTATTAAAGGCCTATTCACATCAGTTTACAGCAACAGAGGGATGATCTTAAATTCTTTAACCACCAACACCACTACCAACCATTAATGCTTGCATGGGGCCATTAACACTGCCTCACGTTGTGATTGGTTTTGTCGTTCTCTACACCAACCAGTGCAATCTTAATCTTTTCTTCTGTGAATGGGATTGTCTCGGGGTTAATCTCAGCAGGATCTTGCTGCTGTGAACGGCCATTAATATTAGCACAAAGGTCGCCACCGTGGCGGCCCGCGGTCACTGGGTGTGTTATCTCACCCAACACACGGCGCCCTTGGAATATGTTTTCTTTTGTTCGGGGAAAGATTTAGAATTTATAACGGAACCATTGGCACAGATGGCAGAATTGCTTATGGGAGAGCACTCCAGATGGTGATCTCTGTACAAAGAATACAAAGAAGAAAAAAAACTGAAATCATTT